ACAACCGATGCATATTCAATCTTCGAACGTATAAAACAGTAGTATAATTTCTTAAGAGTATCTATCTCTTTAAAATCACGACTGTTGCGTACTATGAACCCGTATGCTCGAAATGCAGATTTCAGGATTGAGTCAATATGATCATTGAACGATATAGATTGATCAAATATAACGCCAAGATCTTTGAATGTTATAGGTCTCAGAAGAGAAATGTCACCAATTGAGTAATTGAAAACGATAGGGTCCGACTTCAATGTGAAGGACATGACATTACATTTGACAGGATTCAGTTCTAATCTGTTATTTTGACACCATTCTTCCACCCGACCCAGGTTGTCAGCGAGCTGTTGACAATCATCTATGTGATTCACGCACCTATATAATTTCAGGTCGTCCGCATATAGCAAAAAGTTCACGTCAATAACATTACCAATGTCATTAATGAAAATGTTGAAAAGAAGTGGCCCCAGATTGGAGCCTTGTGGTACGCCAGATGTTGCAAGATATTCGATAGACTTGTAGCCGTTCAACTGGACATATTGTTTACGATTAGTGAGGTATGATTTGAATAGGTTTACTAGAGAGATAGATAGGCCAAATGCTTTCAGTTTGTTTATCAAAATTCCGTGGTCAAGTCTGTCGAAGGCTTTGGAGAAGTCGGTGTAGATGACGTCTGTTTGCGCACGATTGTCAATATTCTCAGAAATGTATTGAGTAACTGTTATCAGATTTGTAACCGTCGACCGACCTCTCATAAAACCATGTTGATGGGGAGAAATGATTTTGTTGATGCTATAGGACAGATTACGTTCCAGAAGAATTTCGAAAACTTTGCAAAAGTTGCATATTATCGAAATTGGTCTATGATTCACAAGGTTATTTTTATCACCCTTCTTATATATAGGACATACCTTTGATAGCTTTCAGCTTGTCGGAAAGTATTCAGATTTAAGACATATATTAATCAGAATTGATAAAGGTCGGGCAAGTGCTGAGGCGCAGTCTCTAATTACGAATGCTGGTATACAGTCTGGTCCTGCTGTTGATTTTGGTTTCAACAATTTGATAGCGTCATAGACTTCCTTCTCACTGAATTCAGTTATAAGTATAAGGGGCAAACCGTCTTCACTACCATAATCGGGTGTGGAATCGTACTGCGTTGACAGAGTGTAGGATTTACTGAACATGTCGGCAAACCCATTTAGAATTTCTGGAGGCTCTTGCAGCAATTTGTCATCATACACCATTCTGCTGCTAATTTTTGATGAAGACTTACGAGAATTGATGAACTGCCAGAATTTGTTTGGATTGGAAGATATTTCAGCTTCGGACCTTTGCACATAGTTTTTGTACGATTCATTGATGTCGATTTTAACTTTCGCTCTCAATAGCCTAAACTCATCAAAAGATTGAATATCATTCTCTTTTTTAAAGTGGCGCCATAAAATGGATTTCCTGCGTAAGTCTTTTATGATACCAGCATCAAACCATGGCGGATATTTATTTTTATTCCGAAAGTTATACTTTGGAACACAACGATCAAAGATATTATACAGTTTTCCATAGAAGTAAGTGCAAGCATCCTCAGCATTGACAAATACTTCCAAAAATGTCCAGTCAATAGTTGACATTAACTCGTACATTAAAGGAAAATTTGCTTTTCGAAAGTTGTAACTATTTTGGAAAAATGAATCGAGGTTTTTTTCACGCTGAGAATTGGGATTGAGCGAACAAGAGATATCAAGTGCCGGATGATGCTTGTCCTCCCTTACTACAGGGTCTAGAGATTTCTCCACCAAGCAAAACTGGTTACAGAATACTAAGTCAAGGAGTTTATCAAGGTGATTGTATATGAAGTTGTTTTGAGAGAGGTCGAAGAATTGAGAGAAGTTATTCAACAGTGATATTCGTGTATTAGTTCTATTAGTTCGAAGATAGGTCGCATAATCGGCTATGTTGAAGTCCCCCAACATCAGAGTTGTGCTATCATATAAAATCTGCAACGACTCAAGCGCTTCCAAAAACTGTTCAAATTCTGATAACGTTGTCCTAGGTGGTATGTACGAATTCAATATATAAAAGTAATTAGATACCAGAGTTATTCTTACTAAGATTACTTCAATAGACCTTAAAATCGGGAATGAATAATCAACTAAGTTAATGCAATTAGATATAATGTCTTCATGCACTCCAATAAGAACTCCACCACCAGTGGATAAATTTGTTGATGAGCTGTCGCGATCCTCCCTGTATATATTGAAGTAGTTAGGAAATAATTCCGTATTGCTAACTGATGAGTCGAGCCATGTTTCGGTAAAAGCAAATATTTTAAAGTCACATTGTGTTAAAGAATTAAATACATCAGCAGTTTTTGTTTTGAGTCCGCGTGTGTTCTGATAGTAAATTGATAGAGTTGACCCGTTTTTTGTTTGGCCCGGCGGAGAACTTGTGTTATGTACGGGGGAGGATAGATGATTGCTCTCTGATTGCTATTGATTCAAGAACAAATTACTTTTGAATTTATCTAGAGCCTGTATGTAAGTCGTACATTTATCCTTCTCCCAAACGGCATGATCAACAGCTATGTTAACATTTTTCTGGCTACAGCAGTTAGAGCATTTCCTTATAGCAGATTTACATTTGCCAACTTCATGATCACCACTACATGAAGGACACGAAATCTGCTTGTTGCAACTGCGTGACGAATGGTTGAATTCATTGCACTTAAAACATCTATGTAATTCGATCGCATCATAAATTGTACAGCTGTCATACGCAACAAACAAATTTCCAGCCTTCATAGCCCGTTCATATACATACTTGTCAACCTGCAGAATTGCTTGCCAAATGTTGGGATTTTTTTTGGTAGGAAATATTTTTAGAACTTTACACTCCGAATCTTCCAGAAAAATAGACGAATTACAAACAAGTAGCGTCAGTAGCGTTGAGGTCATAAAAGAGTTTCATTGTCAAATTACTCAATATTATAGTAGGCTCTTTTCGAAAGGGCACCTTTCACCAGTTTTCTGAATTTACTATGATCTTTCACAGTTCTCAGTTCAGTTGGTGTGTGGTTATAAATCTTCTTACTTTCAAATAACTAAGAAAATTTTGTCGAACTGGATTTTGGAATGGGTAGAGCAATTTTCCTCTCTGTTATTTGTCGGGTCACATGATTTGTTTGTACTGTAGTCTGAGCCATATACCTTTTGTGAATCAGACATACCGTTTGCGATATGAATAAACTTGTCAGAGTGGAAATTCCTGAGTTTGAAAACAGCGGTCTGCATGACTCTCGAATACCTACCATGCCTGAGTACCTTATTGCTCGTTTCTGCATTAAAAACACTGATTGAAAAAGTTGTTAGCTACAATATCCCCAGAAAGTTATTCCATATCTCATATAAGATTCGATCAGAGAGTGATAGATCATCTTTACTGTAGATGAACTCAATTCATCAGTAACAATTCTAAGAGCATAACATCCGGATGCCATTGTTTTAGTTAGAGCTGCAACATGCTGATCAAATTTCAATTTCTCGTCTAAAGTTATTCCTAGGAATTTTGTAGACTTTTTGTCATCTAGAATTTTTCCGTTCGAGCTCAAATTGTTGCAGTCAAAACTAAAGCGCATTATATTTGTTTTTTCGTGATTAAAAGAGAGATAATTACCTTCGCACCATTGCTGAACCGTTCCCAAGTCCCTAGCGATATTGTAAGTTGTCACAATTTTTTCCGTGCCATAGTAGGTTGGTATCATCAGCAAACATGGTGAATCTTACCTGAATGGAAACAGTGGCCAGGTCATTTAAATATGAGAGGAAGAGAATTGGACCTAGGACAGATCCCTGTGAGAATCCCCATGTCATATCCCTGATGTCAGACAGCCTCTCATTTGATTTCACGATATGTTTCCTATCACTCATAGAATATTTGAACCATTCGTGACATACTCCTCTGAAACCATAGCAGTATAGTTTTTCTAATAGTTTACTATGATTTACACAATAGAAGGCTTTAAAAAAGTCGCAGAATACTGCAGTCACTGCTTCACCATTGTTCAGGTTGGTGTATACATGTTCTAGGAAAGAGAAAATTGCGTCATTCGTGCTTTTTTGCTCTGAAATCCGAATTGGGAATCAGTTAATATATTATTGGAGTATAAAAAAAAACAACATCCGTTTTTTCACAAGTTTTTCCATAATTTCATATAGTGTTGAAAGCAGAGAAATTGGTATGAAATTACTAGGATCTTTAGAATCGCCACCTTTATATATTGGGATAATTAGTTCTTAGGCATGGTGAGAATTTTCCAAATCAAAAAGATTTATTGATACATTCAACTAGCACATTCAAAGCTGAGTCTGAAGATTGGTTTTTGACCAACCCCATTTGATTCAGATGATGCATCGAATACAATTCATAATTGATTTGGTTTATTTGGATTAGTAATTCCAAAATGTGGTAAATTATATATTTTTGCACCATATTTCTCAGCTTCTTCTCCCGACAGTCTTGGAATATAGTATTCCTTTTCCATGTCGTCAATCATGATCATGTTATTTTTGGCAAAGTTTTTGTCTTTGTCCACCCGTCTCTCAGTACAGTGAAGTCTCATTGCAGTTTTCTTGCTTTCGAGTAGAATGGTGTTGTTGGTCTTCCATAATAGCCTGGTTCCAAACCTGTCCCTAATCTTGTGCATAGTATCAACCAAAGTTTGTTGAGAGTGAATATATTGTAAGATCATTTTGCATTTTCACTTGATTATTTGTCCACTGCGAACATGAAGATTGATTGGGTCCATTCAGTTCCAATTTATTGGCTGAATCTTCAACTATTGGAACTACAGTGGATGCATCGTCCAGAAGTGCGAATGTTTTGAATACTTGATTGTCTTTATGTATTGGTCGAAATTTGAAAGGTGTCCTGCGAAAGTGATGAAATACTTATGAATGTGATCCATAAATTCAAAATCAACACATATACTTAGCATACATGGACTGAAAGGATACGAGTGAGTGAAAATTATAAATGAATAAATTCAGTTCAGAGAAACAAACACTATAAAGCTCAAATAACCTATACAAAACAGGACCCTGATGAATCGGATTTCTTGAAAATCATCAACAAAGACGAATCTTTTTTGCGCCTGAAAAAGATAACAACTAAAGCGAACCATATACGGGAAACAGTAGTTAAAATTATGCCCATTGAAAGTGATATTCTCGCCCAACTAAAGCAATTCATCCGAGAGGAAAACAATAAACAAACAGAAGCATTGAAGAAGAACTTCAAGGAAGAAATTGATGGAATAAAGTCGGAGATCTATGAGCTCAGGAAAAATATTGAAGACCAGGCAGATAAAGTACGAACTCTAGAAAATTCGACAGAAATACTAGAGCAAAAATTCAAAAACATAGATCGAAGATTAAGGAAAAATAATATAGTAATTTTTGGCTTCAATGTCCCCAAAGAAGATCTGATTGAATGCACAATTGCTGGTCTGAATCAATTGCTAAATCTTGATTTGCAGAAGACCAATATAAATAACATTCAGCTAATTGGGAAACGTGAAACAAACCGTCCAATACTAGTCGAATTTGTTTCATACCTAACGAAACAAGAAGTTTTGAAGAATTGCAAAAACCTAAAAGGCTCTAAGATATCAATTACAGAGGATCTATCTAAGGAAGACCAATTAACACGAAAATCGCTCCTGAAACATCAGGCAATCGCCAGACACAAAGGAATGAATGCATATATAAGAGGAAACAAACTTGTTATAAACAAAGACATATACTCCTTGGAAGAACTCGATACTGAAGATCACCATAACATCGTAGAAGCTGAGAGAGCAAGTAGTGCCCCACCAACACCAATAGCTGCAAAGTCATTGGAAAGAAACCAAAACGAAACAGAAAACCCACAGATTCCCGAGTTTCACAAATCCCTGAAAGATAAGAAACAAGAAGAAGAGCAACTACAGGTATTTAGACCTATTACAAGACATTTTTCTGAGAAATCAACTGGAAATAAAAAATTTGTAAGTACACCGCCGGCTCAGCAAACTACAGCAAACTCCAAGAACATCTATAAGAAAAAATGAACAATCTAAAGTCGTTGTGAAACTTTGTCGTACATTGAATCAAAATCATATTAGGCATAAGAACTCTGGAAAAAAAAAGAATAAATCATTTCAGTATGGATGAGTATATTAGAAATTTCGAAATACAAGAGATTGAAAGTAAAATTGTGAGAAGTCATTTAGAATTAAGAAGTCTACTAACACAAAATGGGAAGAATGGTTTCAGAGTAATGCAAACAAATATTAGAAGCATTTGTAAAAACCTAGACGAACTTGCGGTCACTCTACGAGAAATTGAATGTGAATTCGATATGATCGTCCTTTCAGAAACCTGGAGAATATTAGATATAAATGTTCATCAACTAAAAAATTATAGAATAGAATAGAATAGAATTTTATTTATACCAGAGACAAATTTACAATTTGTGTAGTACAAGTCCTAACTACTTATCTAATATGTGAGAATAATATGTGCTTACAACTATAACAATATTACAAAGCAAAAATGGAATTTGCAATTATTTGATTGTCTATCCGATTGTGCGCCGGGGCAACTTACATTGAACGGGGTGGCGCATTTGCTTTTCAAAACTGTAGGAAAACCCGGCAAAACCTACAGCACCATCATGAAATGAATTGCAGATTCCATTGTTACTTATATAAATATATATACCTTTGGTCGAGCTACCGTTATATCTGAACCTAGAACTAAGTCTGGGCAAAGATTCTTTGATTCAAGTCCTCTATTTTATATGGTTCAGAGCAGATCAAGTGTCTAATAACTGTTCGTCTGAAATTGGAGAGGTTTTTGATCTCCTTGACTTTGCTAGGAAGCATATTATAAAATTCTACACATTTATAAAAACTGCCTTTTTCAAGAAGAGTGGTCTTGTGTAGAGGGAAAGTGAGATTATCTTTATGCCTTGTATCATATAAATGGCTAGACAATGCACCATCGAAAAACTGCTTATTTTTGAAAACAAAGTTTACACATTCTGAAAAAAATATACCGGGTAAAGTTAACAAGTTTAAAGATTTGAATTTTCCTCTACAAGATTCACCTACTTTGAAATTTCCCAGAATTCTAATAATTCTTTTCTGAATTGTGAAGACTTCTTGACCGTGTGAACCACCCCAAAAAAGGATTCCGTATGACATAACCGAGTAAAATTGACCAAAGTAGACTGTTCTGAGAGTTTCAGGATCAACAACCTTCTTCAGTTCTTTGAGTGCATAACAAATTCTACTAAGTCTACCACACAGTTGTTTCACATGTTCCGACCAACCCATGTTTTCATCAATGGTAATACCAAGAAAGTTTGTTTTCCTAACATATGATATTTGTGTCTCATAAAGATTAATAGAGTGTGGAAACACTGAAGTATTTCTGCCATGTCGGAAAAGAATACAGTTCGTTTTGGATGTATTCAGAACAAGAGCATTGTTGTGAAACCAATTTGCAATAATTTCTGTGGCATTATTAGTTTTGTGACACAATAGGTTATAATCTTTTTCTACTATAAGCAAGTTAGTGTCATCGGCATATGAAGTTGAAGTAATAGTTGGATCTACCATAATGTTTGACATATCATTCACATATAGAATAAACAAGATCGGACCAAGTACGCTCCCCTGTGGTACACCCATAGAAATTGTTTTCGCATCTGAGCGGTATGACTGTGTATTATGCCTCACACAAACTGTTTGTACTCTGTTTGAAAGATAGGATGTAAACCAGTCATGTGCTACTCCCCGAATACCCATTTTATATAGCTTGCTCAGAAGAATTTGATGGTTCACACAGTCAAAAGCTTTCGACAGATCTAGAAATACTCCATGAGCAATATAGCCATTGTCCAAATAATGGAGGATCCTCTCAATAAAAGTAAAAATCGCAGTTGTGGTAGATTTTCCCTTCTGGAATCCATGCTGATTATTTCTAATCACTCTATTTTCACTTAAAAATGGGACAAATCTTCTGCACATGATAATTTCGAATAATTTAGAAAAAGATGAAAGTAAACTGATAGGTCGATGATTTTCGACTAAAAGTGGTTCACCTTCATTTTTAAACAATGGTCTAACAATTGCAACCTTCAGCTTTGTGGGAAATATGCCTTGTCTGAATGATTCATTCAGAATATATGTTATAGGTTCTAATATATATTGACTCACATTCTTCAGTAAAACATTACTTATTTCATCATCCCCTGATGGATACTTGTTCTTCATACTATTTATCACTTCTAAAACTTCATTTTGGGTTATTTCTGATAGACAGATCGTGTCGAGACATTCTTGTACAAGGTTAATGTCAAAATTATTTGCAGTGTTATCACTAATGAGACGAGAGGCAGCAGTTAGAAAATAATCATTGAATATATTACTAGCGACATCTGGTTCTGTTACCAACTCATTGTCAGTTTTTATTCCATTGAACGAGTTATTCCTGTTTTTGGATTTTCCTAGTTCAGTGTTCACGATTGACCAGACTGTTTTAGATTTGTTATCGGATTGCCTAATTTTTTCACCATAGTGTTTTTTCTTTTCTGACAACAGCAAGTTGCGGTAATATTTTTCGTATTCATTCATCTGATGGTTTGTTATTTGTTTGAGAAAGTACATTTCTGATAGTAAATTGAGTGTATTTTTTGCATTTATAACGTTTTCTGATATCCACTTTGGTTTTTTCATTGATTGAATAGGAACTTTGCTCAGAGGAAAAGCTTCATTTAAAAAACTCGTGAGTTGAGAAATGAATCTACTATACATATCATCAACGCTTTCTGCTTCATATACATTTAACCTTGGTATATAATGAGGAGGAACTAAACCAAAATGATGGACTAGTAATTCACATCAAAGATACAATCAATTATAAATATAAAATCGTATCACTGGAAGATATAATGATTTTGGAATTCCAATCGGAGTTTAACAACAAAACCATTTTATTAATAGGAATTTATCGGTCACCTTCAACTTGCATTAGAACATTCAATGAAAACTTGAATGAATATTTGCAAACCTGTCCAAAAACAGATATCCAAATCTGCATCGGCGATATGAATATAGATATCTTAAGTTCCGATGAACTTGTGCAAGATTACTTGAATATAATGGAAGGGTATGGCTTATCATCAGCAATCAACACTGCCACTAGGGTAAATAATAACTCAAAAACATGCATTGATCATATATTCGTCAAACAAGATTTCACAATATGAACACATATACACCCCAATAGTATTTGAAACTTGCATCACAGACCATTTCACCACAATAATTCAAATAAGTTCACCTGAAATAAAACAAAATGACAACCCAAGGCACTTCAAACAATATCTAAATAAAGCTAAACTTCTCGATACACTGAAACAGCAAAGATGGGAAAATGTTTTCGCTTGTCAAAATCCAAACTCTGCAGCGGAAAAGTTCATGAAGATTATAAATCAAAGTATCTATTCCTGTACAACGAATGTTAAGGTGAAACGATCCGACATAAAACGTAATAAATGGATAACTGATGGACTAATCAAATCAATAAATAGAAAATATGAAATGTTCCGAGCCATTAAACATCAACCTACTCCAGAAAATATCGAATGCTACAAAAAGTATGGGAATGAACTGAATGAACTTATAGAGAAATCAAAAAGAAACTTTTATCAAAATAGAATATCCGAAAATGGACAGATTTCCGCTGGCCTATGGAAATGTATAAATGAACTAGCAAACAAGAATAAAAATAAACACGTTGAGGTAACCGAGATACAAAACAAAACCGGGACATTAACAAAGAACAGATTGGAAATTGCTAATATGTTCAATGACTTTTTTGTTAGAATTGGAAAAGATTCAGCCACAAAAACTATAGAAAAAAATATGAATAAAAATAAACAAACTATAGACCAATTTCCTTGATCTCGAATCTATCGAAAGTATTTGAAAGACTACTGAAACAAAGAATTGTCAGATATACTGATAAATATTAAATAATTTCCAACAAACAGTTCGGATTCAGAGAGAATGTATCAACACAAGATGCCATTGCTTACTTGACTATAGAAATAAGCAAAGCAATTGATGAGAAAAAGCCAGCGCTCTGCATTTTCATAGACCTTAAGAAAGCATTTGATACTGTCAGTCATGGATTATTGTTGGAGACGCTGGAGAGTATAGGGTTCAGGGGCACATCATATAAATTATTGAAAAGCTATCTTTCTGGTCGTACACAATTTGTTAAGATTGGAGAACATGCTAGTTCGGTAAAAACAATAGAATATGGGGTACCGCAAGGAACAGTTCTGGGACCGACGCTATTCAATATTTATCTAAACGATCTTTTAAATTTACCACTGGAAGGTGACATCTTGAGATTTGCCGATGATACAGCAATACTTTTCAAAGCGCCAAACTGGGAGATTCTGAAAAACAAAGCGGAACGCGATTTCATAAAGATCAAACAATGGTTCGATTATAAACTCCTGACATTAAACATCGAAAAAACCCACTATGTTCCTCTCACCTCTTATTCGAAGTTTTTACCTGCATTCCAGAAGCTGTCAGTGCGAGTAGATGAGGTCCTACATATATCGGCAACTAAGCATATAAAATACTTGGGTATAATGATAGACTGTAACCTAAAATGGAATGAGCATATTATGTATGTAACGAAAAAACTTAGAAGTATCCTATACAGACTCAAATATATTTCTGAATTACTTACTACCCATCAGATGAAAACCCTGTACTATGCTCTTGTGGAAAGCCATTTGAGCTATGGGATAATTGCCTGGGGCGCAGCAAATAAATTCTATTTGAAAAATCTTGAGAAAATCCAGAAACTTATTATAAAAACCATTGAGCACAAACCACGTACTTATCCATCAAATCAACTCTGTGAGGAATCCAGATTGCTTGACATAAGGCAAATATACTTCTTAGCAGCTATTTGTAGACAGCATAAATATAAGTCTTACCTGGGGAATATTGATCACATGTACCCAACAAGATATAAATCACATTCGATAAAGGTTCCTAAACCAACAAAAAATGTGCTCCAAAGAAGTTTTTCTTATCTCGGACCAAAACTTTATAACAGCGTTCCGCCAGAACTGAAAAAATTCAGGATGATCGGAAATTTTAGAAAAAATGCAAGAAAATGGATATTCCAAATCCCTAGGCTATCAGTACATCAGTTGATAGACGTCAAAAATACTTACCAGTATTGATTGTAATTCCCCCTCATAACCATACCATTTCAACCTCAACGAAAATAATAAAAACCTCATGTACTCTGAAACCACTGCAACCTTCGATTATAAAGTATAATTTTTAAATTATGCTCATTTGTAGTCTCATGTAGCTTTGTTGATTCTTCTAATTGTTTTATAATATATTATTCATTTATTGTAGTAGATATAATTATGTGCCTCTAGTCTAAACATGTAGTCAATACACACGCCATAATTTATAATTTGTAATTTGTGTTTCGCATACTATATTTATTTATATATTTTTTATTTAAACAAATGCAGTACAATATTTGTACTACCCACAGACAAGGCTCTGCCTTAAGTGGGCTCTGTGCATTTATTCACGAAACAGTTGAAATGTAAATTTGTAATTGTAATTGTATCAAGAAAATGATGTTTCAACTCATACTTGTTCATATTCGCTCATATTCACTCATGTTTCTTCATAATATTAAGTAATTTAGTAAATTTAGTCATATAAGTTCATATTATTGTACCTACCTCATTATTATTATTATTGTATCTCATTTTTCATAAGTAAATTTTCATAAGTGAATAAATCTATTCTATTCTATTTTATAACCACTGGTAACATTCTGAGCAATACTTCTCTATCTGTAGAAATATGACAATACATTTCCTTCCGAATGGTTTGACACTTCATTAGTTGGAAGCACAGGAGTATGTGAAAGTTCATTATAAGGCTTTTCACAGCCTCGTTCTTCGCAAGTTTTCCTCTTCCTACATCCTCTTATGGAGTGATAAGGCGAAAGACAGAAAGAAAGATGTCACAAAAGAACATCATTCGTAAGTTGAGAGAGCCGCAAATTTTGGACAAATACTCAAATGATGCATTTCGTTTTCACAGCACATAAATTTTTTATAAAATTTTCAGTCGCGAGTGTTACTCCCCAATTCCTAAATTTTGGCATTCTATGGTTGAAATATTCCTCATCTGGAATATAAGACATCTGTAGTTGACATGCTGCATCGACTTCAGTGTCTCACCATAAACTGAATTCAACTAACTCATGACTGACTTGTCTATCAGGAATGTATCGAATTCAACTCACTAATTTTTGTGAAGTCGGTAACTTGTTGAGTAATTCTTGTAGTAAAAATGGATTTCGTCAGTGATCTTCCTCACCTGATATCTCAATGGTTGCAACAGGGTTTTCTACCCCATCAGAAAATTGTATCAACGTATCTAATCGATTATCTCTGATGATGGAATCTGTCTTCATCCGGTCTAATAGAAGTAGAATAATAATTTCAGGGAGACCAAACCGTTTTTTAAGAAGATCGATTAGTTTATCGACATCTTGTGGTGAAATCAGGAGAGACTGAAAGATTTATCTTGCATTACCTTCGAGACATTTTTGAAGTTGACATTGGTTCTTCTCATTTGAGAAACCACAAATATTCGTTGATGTCCTATATTGCTGAATCAAATCAGGATCTTCTTTGAAAATTTGCCAATCCTGCGGAATATTTTGTCTAGTCATCATTCTTCTAATTTCACCGTGCAGTTCACAAATTCCACTCTTTTCAGAGCATATTATATTATAGCCACATACCGAATGCTCATTTCCTTCATATACATGATCATTTCAAGGATGTCCACCTTGTACCCATTCTTGTACATCTGAATCTCGACTCACCACATCTCCATTTGCGTCAGTTTTTTCGCAAGTTATATATCTGAAATCTCTTGTTGCTCTCTCAGCACTTCTTGCTCAATTTCTTCTTTCTCGATATCTGCTTCAATTTCTACACATCTTCTGTATGGAGCTTCGCTCCGTCTTGTCCTCAAACATGTAGTCCTACCTCCTTGAGAACCATTCTTTTTGCTGTCTGCTTTCGAAGATTCCGTAGTAGATGAGTCATCATTTGTTGCATTTGCTACTCTAGATCTCCTAGAAGAATTGTCTGTTTGTTGAAGTGAACAGCTGGGACCATCTGCATCATCCTCAATTGCTGCTATAACTTGTATTGCTTGGTTGTCGTCGGCAGTTCTTGATCTTTTTTCGCAAGACGCTGACTCTTTCTGATTCCAGACATTTTTGTCTCTGTATTCCAGGATCATATGATGAATATATTCACCTAAAAGTGTAGTAATTTTCTTCAAAATTTGGTATCGAAGAACGAAAATTCACAATTATTACAATTCTTTGAAAGTCAGAGAAAAGCCTTCCTTTATACCGCTTGAAAGAAGTGCATTTGAATTCTCTATCGACAAAAATATTCCCAAGAACTCTGATCACTACCAAAGTCTCATTCGATTTCGACTTTCCTCGCGCGATGTTCTTCAAACATAAAGGATAGTCAATCTTTGGCGCACCCAATAATATGATAAATAAATAAAAACTGAACGTTTTCCAATTTTTCATCGTGAATTGAATAATCAATCAAAACTTCAAAATTCATAGGTATAATTCATCATCTCGAACAATCAGTATGAATATTCTCAATGCAATCAGATTATATCTCTAATCATCTGAGATTCACCCATTCAAGGAGATAAGACAGTGAAACAATAATAAGATGATTTAATCGGCTCGAATGATATCTTCGAACCTTTCGATCCGTTGGGAATAGTCTAATATTTTTTTCTACTGTTTGAAAATCAGAATCAGAAGGTTAAGTTTTGACTACAATATGAAGACGGAAATCAGAGTTGAAAATGCAACTGAGAAGGAAGAGTTACCAGGTGAGTTAATAGCTGATTATTTGCCAGAATATATTGAGTGCTCACTTAGGAATCATTTCGAGAAAACATAAAGGGAACAATATTTCACATGAACGTTGAATTTGAAATAATCTATCATTAGTAGCAAACAAGAAACAGATTTTATAACGAAACTCTCCAAGATCAAATTTAAAAGAGATATTTGCTGAACATATAATAATCACTAATGTATTGGGGGTATAAAATAGGCTTCAAGGGACGTATCGTGTGCCCATACCAGGAACATATCGTTTGGTCATTTTATTGCTAAACAACTAATAGTACGAGGCCACTATATAGATAGTTTCTCCCATCTCTACCACCTTGAGTTTTGAGAAAACATACCCACCTCGTGAAGTAATCAATCCAGAATTCATCTCATTGGGGTTCTCCGTGAACTTATTCATTGAACAAAAAATTATAATCACTGACGAAATGTTCAAATTTCCATAACCAATAATATATCTTCAATCCAGAATGTGAACCCCTTTGGTTTCCAGTGGGGTATTCATCAGCCATCATAATCATTCATTAGTGGCTGTTGTTCAAATGAGAATAATTGGAGATTGACCAGATTTTACCTTGGATTCTATCAATACCTACCTAACAATGTATGACCGTGATCACTTCTTGATATTTAACAGGTCGAGGATAGATTACTCACTATTTATTTCTTGTTTTTTTCACAGAAGTTATGGAAATCTCGGAGCATTTTTCATTTTCACTCACCTCCACTTATTCTTATCGACACTTTAGAGTTCATCAAACACAGCAGAAACATGCCTTCAGTCTCCAAGTCTTCACATATCACTCACTCCTTATAACAGTTATAACCTGAGAGTAGTCAACCAATGGGAATATTGGGAATATTTCTTCCCAAAGTTGTTCATTTGTCTCCAGATCATGAAATGAATGCGTCGTTATCGTTCTGTATAACATCAACCCAACATTAACCATAGTCACTTAGTCAGCTGAGCGCACTCTGACATTCTTTTTCCTCCTCCTTCTTCTCCTTTTTCTTCTTTTCCGTCTACTTCTGCTCTTTTCTTCGCTTTCCATCCTTGAACGCACCCCACAACCAACCATATGCCACCATCCATCTGCTGCGAATATCACTGGCGTTCATGTTCATGTCATAGCAAGTATGAACCCATTTCAGTGTCCGAAACTCCCCTTTTTCCCTTATTGTTCTAATAATCAGACCTTGGTGCAAGAATAGGGCAAGTCAATATTTCCTGAATGTGGAGAAAATGGAGAAAACTGAGATAATTGAAAATTCAGACTTGCCTGTTTTTCGAACGGAAATCATAATATTCATAAAAATTATATCATTCGACGGTATTATTCATTATTTGTAATGAACAACAGTTTGTGATTCTCAAATAAATAAAGGATCAGTTTCATAGCGCTCATTCTCCTCAGTCATTTCGGGTAGATCGTCATCAGGTTGGTCTGTCGACAAATCTCCGAAGATAGTGTTATAAAAATGTTGATGAGCAGCTAGGACATATTTTCAGACCACACTCTCGTAATCCCTCACTGTTTGTATCCTTTGATGCTGGATTATTGTTGTTAAAACTTTCTGTTGGCCGATACCACTGACTTCGTGTACCGGTTTTGATCTGAGGAGAAGTCGAATAAATAGTGTGCCCGGCAGAGGCCGAGCGTTGAATGAAGCTTTTATTTTTCGTATATTTGAAGACTCTCTAACTTGATATTACAAACTTCTCGATTCGCAGTTCAACCTACAATATGAATATGTGGAACAGATTTTTGTATTCCTCCACCGATCGTTTGACGTTTACGAGCTATTGGTTTTGACGGAAGTAGCCCAGGTAAATATAGGTCTTGTTTCTCCTTATTTGCTAGTTTATCGAAAGGTATCAAGACCGATTGCCTGATTTGTTGAGTTTTATTCAAGAAACATTGTTCTCAACAGTATTTATATAATCCCCTTCACTAAGTTTTGAAACTTTGCGGACATTTCGGGCCCATGCATGTTGAACGTTTTCGCTCTTTTTAAACGATCTTTACTTCTCGTGTTTGTTTGCGGGTACGTTATTCAGTTTCACGTTTGCCTCTATGACACGTACTGCCTAAGATAAACAATGAAGTAACCTTGATGAAAGTTGACCAGCTAAATAAAGGTCTTGTTTCTCCTTATCTGCTAGTTTATCGAAAGGTTCCAAGACCGATTGCGTAATTTGTTGGGTAATATTCAGAAACAAATCTTTCTCAACAGTATTCATATACTCCTCTCCACTAGGTCTTGAAACTTTGCAAACATTCTGGACCATAGCATGTTGAACGTTTTCGCTCCATTTTCCCGATCTGCACTTCTCGTGTTTGTTTGCGGGTTGGTTATTCAGTTTAACGTTTGCCTCTATGACACGTACTGTCTGAGATGAACAATAAACTGACCTAGAACCAACTAACAAATGACAGCCAGGAACCAATCACGGTGGCTGCTATGAACATTTCCACTCGAAAAACTCTTCAACACCATTTGCAGTTTGAAGCAATAGTCAGGCGAGTCCTAGACTTGCCTGTTTCTTGAGCGCAATCCCGATTTGTATCGTTTGACATGTTCAACTCATTTCGTGAAAAAATTGGACTCGCCTGGTTCTTGCACCAATGTCTTCAATTCCTATTCAATTGCGCGGAACGTATGGCGCGAATTGAAAATTCCATCAAGAAGCTGGAAGAAACCATTCTGGTGATTTTTCATGCGCATGAATTGCTTTTGCAGAATCTCCCAATAAAATTGAAAATGATATAATATAAGAGATTCATCAATTGTGTCAACTTAATGATTGTTTACCTAGTGTGAACTTGTTTCACAATTCTCTCGGAATTTCAACCTGAAAACTATATTCGACTAGAATTACATTGGGTGCAAACAGCATCTCATAAATCATGTCAGTTCTTCAGTACAAAATCTGATTCAATACTGAACCTCTTCGCCTTCTTGAGACTGAATCGATTGAAGTTCTCTCGTCCTCTCCTGTTTTCTGTTAGTACCCTTCTCCTGTCTGCGTTCCATCTCTTATTCTGTCGACGCGTTCTACGAGTGCCATGCTCCTTTAGTACGCCAGTCAAATCGTACATGAAAAATGGCTAAATCGCAGAGTGTGATGGCGTTTTGATGTCTGGATATATTGCTAGGACCAGTTGATGTTGTATGAATAGGAATTTGCAGCACAAGAAAACCTGTGATCTCATTCAAAATACGTCGCAATTGGCAAAATATGCAGATATGTTTCAGATGTTGCGTTATTAACCTATGAGTTACCTAATATAAGATCTGATTGCAGTTTCTGGGGTGGAATCGATTCGCAAAGATTCCAGATAATTTGCAAGTCTGTACCTTCAATTCTCTTCAAGATATAGATCTTCGAATATTCGCGAATTTTCCTGGAGAATGAATGATTCAAGTCTCGTTTTGAACTGAATATCGAAATAGCCAATCAACCTACAGAACGAGCTCGAGAAATAGACTTGTAGTATATGTGTATATTTTTCATTTGATCATCGTCAGAAATCTGTATGATGAGGAATGCTTGCTGGAGAAGTAGAGTTGGAAGTGGAAAAGGAATCAAAAAAATTGGGACGTTCACTGTTAAGATTTTTTCAAGAGTCTTGGTTAATCACGGTCCTATTCCAAGCATAAAGAAAGTTGCTGGTATATTTTCTCCATCTACTTGCTCTTCTCAAGGTGAAGAATTTCTTGTGTCGTCCTCAACTCCGTTGATTAGAAATATAGAGACATTATGACAAGTCTCGCGACTGCATATAGTGGACAAAGCTGAACACCTCCACTCAAATGGTACGCATAATGCTGTTATAGAATGGATTTTTTGAAAATCTCTGATTGACCCAATTCTGTGACATTCTTCTCCACATTCAACTATTCTTGCACTTGGTGGTCTTCATGATACGAATAAAGGAAGCAGCTTTGTTGGTTGAGAGTAAACGTGCCAGGTTGATATTTGCGTTGGTTGCCGATTCCACTGATAGGGCGACTTGGCATTCTTTCCCAGCTTTGGCTATAACCTTCTGACTGAGAGGAACCCAACGTTGATCAGGTTTATCAAGTCTAATTCGAAACCAACTACGTCTCGATTATTTCAACGAAGGAAAATTGAACCTCATAACAGAACTCTGTTGAGATTCTTCAGATATTTTTTATTTTGATGGTGACGACTCGACGTTCACACTGGAGACAGTAGACCTACATTAACCAAATATTATCAGTACCCTCGAGTACTCAGGAATTGGTGAAGACGCAAATAATAAAAATGCTTAATCAAGGTATCATTCAGCCTTCAGTTTCATCATGGTCATCCCCCGTTCGGGTTGTACCAAAGAAGTTTGATGCTTTCGGTAGACAGAAATGGCAAAAAGTCATCGACTTTTGAAAACTGAATAGAAGTTACTATCGACTTCAAGTATCTACTTCCGAACATCTCCGATCTCCTCGACAAATTAGGCAAGTGCCAATATCTCACCACCCTCGATTTGGCTTTTGAATTTCATCACATTGATATTGATCAAAAAAATATCCAGGAGAACGCATTAGGCCATTCGGATTGGAGAAGGCCACTTCCATCTTTCAACGCCTACTGGACAACATCTCAATAATAATTCGAAATGACTGTTGCATTGTTTAATTGAACCATATCATCGTCTATTTTTCTACTATTCAAAACATATCACTCGTAATTCAGAAGTTCTCAAACGTAGCGTGGAACCAAATCCCTCTGAAGTCGAGTGTATAAGAGATTTTAGTCGATTCAAAAATCCGAGAGACATGAAATCTCTCCTTGGCCTTTTCGACCACTATGAGCGATTCGTCTCAAATTCTGCGAAGACTCCAGGATTCCTGACAAGACATCCCTCTTGATTTATACGCAGACTGTATAAACTCTTTCGAAACACTCAATGAAGCACTCACTACATCTTCAAAACTAATCTACACAAAT